CACATGGAAATGCATTAACACCACAGTGGGGAATAGAATGTGCCGCGGTGCATGCAAATAAGGGAGGAAGTTTTTAAGGACAAATCTTAATATTTGACGAAACCACAATGCGTTGTGACTTCAAAATGTTTTCAGAATGCTGTCTACATCAGAGCAATGAAGTTTACATACACCAGTTCTAGTTCTTACAAACAAAAGTGTCACCCTGTAGACCTACATACAGGCTTTGAAAAGAGTACTAAGGAATGCCTGAGATGCTATTCTCATATATATATATTTCTTGAAATAAAGATGGCTTGTGCCTTTTTTTGTTGTTGGTTTATTTATTTTTGCTATTTTGAGCACTACAGCACGTGTCCATTAGTTCCATCATGTTCAAGAGAAGACTTCAAACCTGGTGAACTGTCTGTTAAAGCAATAAAGTTCACCTGTCTCTTTATACCTTTGGAAGAACTTTTCCTTTGGTGGGGTTGCCCTTCAATTAATTGGGGCTGCAAAGGTCCTTTTAAAGAGGTGCCTAGATGAGTTCACCAAATGGTGGCACAACACTGGTAAAAGACAAACAAACAAACAGCTCAGTGTCTATCAGTGTGTTTGGAGACACCAAGTATCTCCAGAGCTCCTCCTTTCCAAGCTACTGAAAAAAGAGCATGCATGGTTAGCATGTCTACTCTTCCTTTTAGACCCGCTATGTACATCATGTCTTGTATTCAGAGAGAGATGCATGAAGAGGAACGTGCAATACATATCAAGGGTTTGTTTATGTATAAATGGGCACTTTTATCAGAATGGCTTCCAAAATGGAGCGTGGCTTTCCATGTGTCACCTTGTTTTGCTGTGCGTTATTTGCAACTGCCGCGATTCATTAAACGTGTCTGCGTAAGGCATCTGACTCTGTTCATTCTGCATGAGTTGACCCGGTCACACAAGATTTCCTTCACAATACACACCAGAAGTTTCTCTTTGGAGAAAAGGGTAGCAGCTCGCAGCACTTCAATTCCAGGTCATTAGATCCAGTGTTTGTAAGGCATATCCAGCATATCTTAGTAGTACAATGGCTAGTGCATGCAATAAATTTTCTCAGGTGAAAAAAAAGAGATCATTTGGGTGTATCAGATAATTAACCTTTCTTCATAGCAACACTTCTTCAAACTCAGAAGTCTTAATAGCTTGCACAATGCAAGCATTGAGGTCATTGTGTGTAATACTATTGTTGACTTGTATCTGTGTGAAACATGGTGAAGAAAACAGGAGTTTGGCAAAGATGCTCTTAGACAGATTTAAAGTACAAGATAGATCAATTTACTATCTGCAAAAGGCTCCACTTACCATATAATATTCTAAAAAAAAAAAAGACAATTTAGATAGCTGCAAGCTAAACACATGTTTTGCTGATCATAATTTTCTGCCATCACCACAAGAGCAAGTAACATTTAAATTAAAGAGAAGAAAAAAAAATTATCCCGATCAAAGTTTTGGATGCAATTACATTTGCCTGAAATCTGACTAAAACGATGATGGTTTGAGCAATCAGAGTGCAGTTTGCATCATATAACCGCTTTCATTGTGCAGAACTGTATTCTTTTTCTTGATATTAGTTATTATTGTCTGTAATACATTTCTATTAATGGAAACAGTGATGACTGTGTAACAGGAAAATTTATGCATAAAAAAAAAATCTGAGTCCAGGTATGAGATGGTGCTACAAGAAACTAGGCCAATATGTGCTGACAGGGAAGCAAGAAATGTTGCCACAAAGCAAAATTTCAATATGCAGACTTGTGGATGCCAGTAGAAGAGTAGATGAACAGCTGCAGGGTTTAGCTGAGCTGACACAACTGCTACTGTAGTTTTCCACACATTCAGTTACAGTTTTTTTGTAACATCAATCTGAAGCAAGTTAACCAGCGGACTGTGATTAGTCAGCTATAACCATATTCATCGGACAATCCTGCACTCGTGCAACTCGTGTGCCCACAACACTTCGTATTTGGTCTTGTTCCAACCCCAATACAGATTCAGGCAAGAATCTACAATTCACCCTAATGACTGACCATTAATGGCATGCTTTCCCCGCCGTCTCTCAGGTTCCAGTAAAAAATGTGTTCAACTGCTGGAAATTGTTGTGTGTGCTGCTGGTTGTTGATGCCCCACGCATCATATTCTTACAGTACCTACTGTTTTTCCTCCCACTCAGACACTGAGGACAAGAGCTTTCCTATTCTGCAGACTCATCAGCTGCCTGTGTTCTCCCTATTAGCATTTTAACTTCCTGAATCTCATGTTACAAATCATCAGTATGATATAGAAACTGACTATAATGACTGCAGTGTCTTATCTAACAGTTTGGGGGGAGGGACAAAAAAAAAAAAAAAAACAAACAAACAGTGAAATCTTGTGCTCTTTTCTTTGTGTAGTGACACAGGGCTCATGCTCCGGGCTCCAAATATGTCTTAAGGATAAAATGAACCTATAGTCCACAAATTTAAAATGCTTTTGGGAGTTAGACATATGATTATTCTGACTTGGGAGTGTGCCTCAATGTTTCTTTTAAGAATTGCAGTGATACACAAATCCCTTCAAGTAGTAAAAACCAAAGCAAAATAAGACTTTTTTGTCTTTATTGTTACCACCCATATTCCATGGCAGATAACAATCAACCTGTGTGGTCATGTCATTTATGTCAGTGACATTATTTCCACAAGCTCAGTTTAACCAGCTCTTGTCACTTCTCATCAACTATACTTGGGCTGTATCGTGCTCTACCTGTCTGTCCCACTTAGTTAGATTTGCATATGGATTCTTGTATTGTTGCGAGAGATACACCCCAGTGTTCATGTTAATGTTACACTGCCAAACGTATTAATAGGTGATAAAAAAGAAGAAATAAAGTGTGTGTGTGTGTGTGTGTGTGTGTAAGCATATGCAAATACACACTGCAGAAAAGAGAATTAATAAAAATTCTAAATATTCCAAGTACAAATACAAAGTTCTACCAAGCTAAGAAATAGAAAATAGAAAAGTTTCTGTCAACCCGCAATCTACTTTCCTTGGTGCTTCTCATTAAATCTGATGTAATTAATTAATTTCCCTTATGCAGCACTAACCAATAGATATGACCAATAACTTTTCACCTTTAACTGCTCATAGTAAGTGCTTCTTCTATTATCATGTGGCCCATACTTCGACACTTGTGACACTGTTTCATCTCTAATTATATGCTCTCAAAGGAGACTCTTACTATTGACACCAGAGAGGACATCTCTCAATGACACCCTTCACTCTGTTGAGGCTACATTGATTTAATGGTAAACTTAACCTTATATCTACTACATAAGTAATGCATAACAGCAAAGGAAATGCATGTAGCACATTAGATGCTAACTTTATGGTGATAACTTTCTAGGGTATATGCTAGACCAGTGTTTTCCAACCTTTTGGTGCCATGGCACACCACCAAACAAAAATGTCACAAAAGGCATATTGATAATTTTTCCCCGTGCACCAGACATAGCGGAATTGGTTGAGTTTGTCCCCAGTATACCTTTTTTGCTTTCTTCTGATCACTACTCATGCTAGGACCTTCATCTGGGTCGAAATTTTCAGCAGGACCAAGATGAAAGCCCTAACTTTTTCTTTTCAAATATTTATCAATTTATGCGCTGTGTTGTCTCACTCACGGCATAACTATTATGTAATTTCTCCTTCGTCTTCTTCTGTTTCACTGGCAGTTGTCAACACATTTACAGGTAATTAGAGCAGGTAGCTGTACTGCCCTCTAGTGGAAGAGAATGTAATTGTTCTGCCCGTTACTCATGCAGGTCGCTTAAAGCAGCGGTCCCCAACCCCCGGCCCATGGATCGGTCGTTTGGTACTGGGCCACAAGAGTTGAGGCTCAGGCGTCAAATTTATGCTTTTTTATCTTTTTTTTTTTTTTTCGTTTTTATCGTTAATTCAGTTTCCCTGGGTCTTTTCCCGTGTGTTATGAATAAAACTTTGGTTTTTTTGGTACTGGTACTGGTTTTATTTTGTTGTATTTATCCACGACACCTTAAAGGCCGGTCCGTGAAAATATTGTCGGACATAAACTGGTCTGTGGTGCAAAAAAGGTTGGGGACCGCTAGCTTAGATTACTAATCAGGTGGAACCAGATAATCTTCCACAGCACACCTGATCATTTCTCACAGCACACCTATGTGCCACAGCACAGTGGTTGGGAAACACTGCACTAGACTACCTTACTATGCTTATTAGAACTTTTTTCAAATTATTCTTTCAGATAAGAAGCCCTATTTATTTCGGGTAAATTTCTGATAAATACTGGAGTGAACTTGTTCTTCCAAATCATATTTGATGAAATAAAGCCAAACAAATTATAAACTGACAGAAATGATAATTGATGAGGTTAAGACTGTATAGTCAATATTTAAACATGTTACTGCAGAACGTAATCGAAGTGATACTTATAATGCATAAACAAGTGATGGTATGTCTATGCACTGTAGTGGATAAATGAAAGCCTGATACTGTAGGTTAAATGCATTGTGCATGTGACCTCTATGATGATTATGCTGAAGCAATGAAAGCACCAAAGATGTGAATGCCGAATAATGAACTGAATTCAAAACTGGATAGTCTAGTTATTCTGCATAATTTTCTGTGGACAAACTTGTGATTGTGTATGCACAGACACAGATAAATGATTAATGACTACTAATATATTGATTATTTGGACTGGAAATTACCCAGAGGACTACAGATGGAATGCACTGGTAATAAACTGTCCTGTGTATCGTTATTGTTAAACAATAAACAAAATTAAGAAATTATCACCCCATCATTATCACTTAGGTCACAAACTATTAGTATCAAGTGGAAAGGATTAACACATACTGTCCAGTATGTAGCGTAAAATGAAAAGGAACATGCAAATCCTCTTGTGGTGTCTGTAGTATGTTTTTAACAAAAACTTCAAATTTTTTAATGACTTTGTGTCCTACCTCTGGTGTGGCTCAGGACCCTCCGGCGGCCTGTTGACGAGCTGTGCATGACATGCTGGTAGTGAGACATGTCTGTTGGAGTGTTGGGAACACGGAAACTGTCCTGGAATCTCTGCATCAAATCCTCGACTGACTCGGTGTTTGGGTCAATGGCTATGAAAAAGAGATGCAAAGTGAAAATGGCAGCCATGTCAAAAGGCTTTAAAGTAACACTGTGACAAATGCTCAAGATATTCTAAAGAGATATGCACGGATACAAAGAAGCAAAACAAATGTAGCTTGCTTTCTTTTTTGTTTTTTAGGAAAGATGGGGGATTAATGTCTGATATACATGTAACACTAGGTTGTGTGCCTGTGTTGATACTGTATCAAGAAAAGAAAAGAAAAGACATCTAGTCAGTTTTAGTTTTTTAGGGGTTTTTTTGGTGGGGGGTGTTTTGTTTTGGGGTTTGTTTTTTTTCCTGGACTTTAAATGATTCCATCAATTCAATATTGCCTCATCTCTACAGGGATCCTGCCAGCGCTTCCCCTGATGGCTCAGTTTCACTCTTCCTGATGAATGACTCCAAAACAACTGGTTGTGGGGAAAGCAGGGAGAACAGAAAGAGCAGGTTTTTTTCTTTACAGATTGAATTTAACAATAGAAAGGACAAACAATTTCTATGACTTGTTCAGATGTCCTGGCTCATTTACAACAACAAAAAAGAGAACAGAAAACATTACGAGTTAAGACTATTTTCCTCTTATTGCTTCCGAAGCACACAAAAAGGTTGAAACTGAAACATTAGATAAACACACACACACACACATATATACATATACATACAGTATATATTAGGAGTGCAATGATACACAAAATTCACGGTTCGGTTCGATACTTTGGTGTCACGGTTCGATATTTTTTCGATACAAAAAAAAAGTTCATGCTTTTTTAAATTTGTCATTTATTAAAATTATAAATATATATTTTAACTCAAAAGTACAGTTTTTAAATTTAATGTTGCTGAAACAACAAAGTAATAATAAATAAATAAATATATCTGATAGAGGAATCACTCATCTTTGGAAAAGAGCGTTTATTACAGAGAAATGGCTCTTTCCAAAATAAAAGCTATACTATACGCTTCTTCTGGGCAGCAT